GTGACGTGCGGCCTAGTTGAGGTTGGGACACATCGAAGGAATTCCGGAACTCATGCAGAAGATCAAGCAGGTCGGCATGTTCGGTGAGAGTGAGGGTGTCGGCGATGGCGCTGGAAAACGTATCCTTGGACGACTCCTCGAGGGCCGAGAGTGATTTTGGGTGGTCGCAGTAGTCATCCGGGACATCAACCAAAGACGAAGGGTCGAGATCCTGCACGCGGCCGAGACATTCCCCGCAAGCAAAGTGACAGGTGTGGAAAGCGGGTGAGTATGAACATATTGCTTCTTCCGGCGGCAAGGTCAATTGTTGCGAAAGGCAGCGGCAGAGCTCGAGGACTCGTGAAAATATCGGAAGGCATAAAAAAGACTGTAGCGTCAGTGTAGGCGTTGCATGAAACTGGAACAAGTGTGAAGTTTTCAGGTGGAATATCGGTGTCTTCATGCACGAACAACTTCGGCGGCTGATGAAGAGCGTCAAGTAATGGGACATCACAAAAGGGTGAAAACTCAACTTCAGCGCGTGCGCAGTCGATGACGGCATTATGGCGGGATAGGAAGTCCCATCCGAAGATGACATCATGCGAACAGACAGCGAGGACAATAAACTCCACAATGTAAACAATGCCTTCGATGGACACTCTCGCAGTTCAGGCTGCGAGAGGCGTTACTTGCTGTGCACTTGCGGTGTGGAGTGACAGTCCCGAAAGCGGCGTCGTGACTTTACGTAATACACGGCAGACATTAGCGGCAATAACAGAAACAGCGGCGCCGGTGTCTACAAGGGCAAAAGTAGAATAACCTTGAACACTTACTGCGACCACGTTAGCAGGAGAGGGGCGAGGGCTTAGACATTCTTGCCTCTTGAACTGCGGTGCTTAGTTTTCCTGGTCAGAAGGTCTGGGCCGGCGACGCATTGGAAGGCGATCGCCGACGAGGAGAGCGTGCGCGCGGCGTCACGAAGTCGGGGTCGTTAGGAGGGGCATAGCGAAGTGACGAGACCGGCCCGTATTGCGCGAGGGGTTGGCTGCCGGGTTGCTACGATCGGACATAGTCGCCGAACGTCGGAGGTCGACGGCGGCAGTAGCGGGCAACGTGTCCGGGAGTAAAGCAGGCGTAGCATATCGGTCGGTTATCGGGCTGCTCCAAGAATTGGCTACTAGTGGTGCTGCCCAAGGTGCAGTATAAGCAGCCGGGTGTGCGGGCTGTGAGCGCGAGGTGTAGGGTGGTTGCGGAAGCCTACGCACAGCGTCTGCATATGTAACGGCGCTGCTACAGGCTGCTTCACTTGCGAGCAGGCGACAGGAGGAGCCACAGGCTGCGCTGCATACGTTAGGGGCGCGGCCACAGGCTGCACGGCTGGCGGATAGGCGACAGGAGGGCCTACCGGCTGCGCGGCACGCTGGCAGTGGGCAAGGCTGGATAGAGGCGGCTTGTGGTGCGCAACAGGGACATCTTGGGCAACCTCTTCCGAAATAGCAGTGCGAAGCGGGGCAGGTAGACGGGTGGCGGTCTCGTGAGTGAAGGGCACTAGGGAAAGTTGGCGGGCGACTTGCTCACGGACGAAGGCTCGAACTTGCTGAAGCAGCGGTGAATTGTCCGGTAGGGTGTCGAAACTGGACAGTGACTCACCACCATGCTGAGGCCACCGAGTCAGAGTGCGTTGCTTCTTCAACTCGTCGTAGCTCTGACACAAGCTGACGACTTCGGAAACTGTGCTCGGATTTCTTGCCAAGAGCATTTGAAATGCGCCGTCAGCGATGCCCTCCCTGCAGGATGTTTTTGACCTCGTCAGATTCGGGCATGGTGTCATTCAGACGTCGACAAAGGTCGATGACGTCCTCAATATAGCTGGTAAAGGTCTCGCCAGTCTGCTGAGAGCGGACGCGCAAGCACTGTTCTGGCCTCTGCTTGCGGACAGCCGGCCGACCGAACGCTTCAGCACATGACGTCTTGAAGACGCTCCATGTGGGGATGTTGTGTTTGTGGTTATTGAACCACGATTCGGCGACGCCAGTGAGATAAAATCACGTAGCCCAGCTTGTCGGCTTCATCCCTTATTGTTGGCGCTCACCAGTTCGTAGTGCTCGAGCCAGTCTTCGACGTCGGTCCCATCCGCACCGCTGAAGACCTTCGGCTCCCGTAGCCTAGGATGGCCAGGGCAGTTGAACTGGAGCGAAGGTGTCGATGTAGTGGCGTTGGCAGTTATGACAGGTGGTAGCGTGCGGTTTCGCAACTCCAGGGTGTAGCAACGGGTTTTACGTCCCAAAACCACCATATGATTATGAGAGACGCCGTAGTGGAGGGCTCCGGAAATTTCGACCACCTTGGGTTCTTTAACGTGGACCCAAATCTGAGCACACGGGCCTACAACATTTTCGCCTCCATCGGAAATGCAGCCGCCACAGCTGGGCACAAATACCTGAGACTAAATATAACCTCTGACATTAATGGGATTGTCATGTCAATAATATTACCCAACGGCACTTATACGGCTCTTCTTTCTTGAAGGACACCTTCATCAAGCACCCCGTTAGTCTAAATTACTAGCTTGTATTTCACTCATTAAATCAGTGTTAGAATATGCTACCCCAGCGTGAGTTTCAATAACCAGTAAATTAATATCTATTATATAGAGAGTACAAAAAATCAATCAGTTTCTTTTTCCAAAAATATCAGCTCACAGCCTTCGACTAACAATAACCTCTGACAATAAATGGGATTGTCATGTTAATAATATTACCCAACGGCATCTATACGGCACTTCTTCTGAAAGGACACTTTCATCAAGCACCCCGTTAGTCTAAATTCCTAGCTTGTATTTCACTCATTAGATCAGTGTTATAATATGCTACACCAGCGTGGTTTTCATGAACCAGTAAATAATAACAATTATAGAGAGAGCACAAAAAAATTAATTAGATTCATTTTCCAAATATCTGCTCACAGTCCGAGACGATAACCATTGACTATAAATGGGATTGTCATGTCAATAATATTACCCAACGGCACTTATACGGCTCTTCTTTATTGAAGGACAGTTTCATCAAGCAACCCGTTCGTCTAAATAACTAGCTTGTATTTCACTCATTAGATCAGTGTTAGAATATGCTACCCCAGCGTGGTTTTGATTATTAGTAAATTAATATCTATTCTATAGAGAGTACAAGGAAAATCAATTAGATTCTTTCTCCAAGAATATCAGCTCACAGTGCTTTAATGAAATCAGCCGGAATTATTACAAAATAAAAACGCGCTACGCTGTCACGATTGAAATCGCTTCGTCAAGTAATTTTTAACAAGCTTAATTCATCAACCAACTCATAACAAGCTAATATTAACAATTTTAAATATACCTCTGTTGCAGACACAAGAATAACTAGACTAAAGCATTCATACACCCTCAATGAACACCAATTATATACTGTTTACTTTATTACTTCTTCTTCCAGCTAGTCATAGGCAGTGTAACAACTTACCCTCCACTATTACCAATAGTTACTCAGTAAGCACTTTTATATCACTCCTTGAAAAATACTTACATGACACACACAAAACTACATACGTTTTGCAACATTCTTCAACCATTGATTTTACCCTTAGTACCAACATGCAACTCAATACTTTTTACCCACATGCTACTAACTAATATTGCAAAATGTGCCTTTTCTGTACTTTTTGTTAAGCTTGTACATGTAGAACCATTGTATAGCCTAATCGTAAGTATTCTGGTGTGTTATGATGTGTCAGTGTTTTAAAGTTTGGCTTCACGGTGTCGTATAGACTTTTTGCATATGTGATTTTTCACGCAGATTTTACATTGCCATTAGCAAAAGAAACTGTTCTGTTATTTTGCATAAATTCTGCTTTGATATATTTTAAACCTTGTTATATATATATAAGTTGTGTCCTTCTGTCAGTAATATCTAATGGGATTGCCAATATGTACTAAATGAAGAATCGAAAATTTACACCCCCCCTCTGATAGTAGCTATAGCTTTACGGTGACGGGGTACGTCGCTATTGCTGCATCGCTATTAATACGGGCACCATCACTGTTACAATTTCCCTACGGTGACAGGCCCCCTCACTTTGACGACTTTACTGCGCTGACGGGCACCGTTATTGTGGTCACGATTACATTACGCTGACAGCTCCCCTCACTCCAACGATAGTACTGCGTTGACGGGCCTCCTCATCATAGTCACTGCCAATAAAATCACCATGATTGCTTCCCAACTTGTGAGCGATTTCCTTTAAACAATTTCTAGTACTTCACATGTAATCATATTCATTTTGGCATATACATATCTGTAATAATGGTTCGTTATATTGAACAAGCTGTCGTATATGCGAAGTTAACGAAACATTCACTAGGCGACAAAGATTTGGGCACTAGACACGCAGATAGATAGATAGATAGATAGATAGATAGATAGATAGATAGATCGATAGATAGATAGATAGATAGATAGATAGATAGATAGATAGATAGATAGATATATAGATAGATAGATAGATAGATAGATAATCAGCGCTGCTCATAAAAGACGGTGATATTGGGGACAGCGAGATGTACGGAAACGAAAGTAGTGAGGCGTAACGTTCCGCGGCTGCCACCCACGGTGCCACCACACTATGCGCCGCCGTGTCATTCACAATAACTTCAATCCTGAGTTATGTGGTGGGGGCGTCCACCGATAGAATATACGCCTGGTCATGGTCGTTCATTTAGCGAAGTAGTCACGAATCAGCTATCTCAATTACAACATATTTAACATCTGCGCTGAAAATTTGTATTATGCGATATCGCAACTGCTTGTGACTACTTCATAAACCTATGGAGTCTGGTTTTTCAAACTATCTTTTTTTCTACTGTGGTGTTCTTTACCTAATTAGAAATAACCCATCTCCAGATAAAATGTAGTTCTGCGATTTCGAAACAGTTTATTTTTACTGCTGTGCTAATTTCAAACAATCGACTATGTTGTTCCTTTTTTTAGAAATACGACATGAGGAAATGCATAGTAAGATGTTTTATTAACAAAATGGAGGGAACATGCTAATCGGCGCTGTGGATGGCGTTCATTGCGACAAGAAAAAGGTGAGCCACGTTGTTAATAGATTTTTGCGCTCAGGTGTTATTACACTGTTTTAGTATATCAGCCAATGCTTTGGCTCAAAAAAGGAGTGTCCCGCAGAAGCTCATTCACATGACCATTTGACAAATGTCCCATTGAAAACGCACTGTGGCACTAATTGTTTACATGCTGCCTACAGATACTCGTGTTCACTGCAAAAACATAGATTGCACACATTAAAACCGATACACTGGCGAAGTCAAACAATGTACTAGCCTGCATTTCCATATCTACCCATTCCTCATACTTTTCTCCGAGGCGGAAACGTGTCTTGCACATTTCGACGATGGGAATTGAAATCAATGTAAATAAAATCTCATGTCTTACAACTGAATAATCGAAAGAGCTTTTTTTCGGCATTCCGTTTTTTTTTTTGCTGCTCTTGTCCACGTCTCATCAAAAAACATGCACCAAGAAACCAATGATTGGTTTGTTCATTGGCGACTCCCTGTTTGAATCAGTCGCCATCAAAACGTTGGCTAAGACATAGACTAACCTAGATTAATCTCGTATATTGCTGTTGCTCAGGGGACTGGAATATAACCAAACACAAGCAATGGGTTACACGTGTATATAGGTGTAAATGTTAGTACTCACTCAGCACGAAGCATGAGGCATCGTTTTGAATCGGGGCTATAAATGAATACCATCTTTCAAATAAATAAGAAAAGTATTGCGGTCGAAACTACATACACCTATAACGTACATCGTAGTCGTTTATGAAAGGAAACATGTGAGCGCTCGGCCTGCGCTTTCAAGCGGCTGCCTACAGCACCATCAACCTAATGCTTAACAAAACCCTTCGGCTTTTGGCGGCAAAACCTGTTATAAGACCACAGCGGGAGTGTTATTTATCTGTGCTTGGCCAATGGCTACTACTTGTTATTTCGTTTGCCAATAGGTGGCGGCAAAAGCCCACGTTTTTTCACTGGCTCTCAGTTGGTGGTGCGGTAGGCAGCCGCCGCAGAGCACAGGCCAAGCGCCCGCGTGTTTGCTTTCTTAAAATATGACAGCCTCTATTTCTTTAATAGAAATGGTTTCTATGCATTGCTAGATTGCACGCAATCCTACCAGTTAGTTTTGTTGTATGCGTACAAACTTTTGTAAGCAGAATGATTGCTTAAGATGTTCAGCGGTATAAATTTTTAAATTCGTTTATAGCAGTATTAAATTATACATTTTCCTGCAGAACTGCATATAGCGAGAACGTTTGGTCTGTCAGTGATCACAAATATTGGTACCAAGAATCAGTGCAAAGTCACGTTCTTACCTCTGGCCCACATAAGCGGAGAATGAAACCCAGAAGTGCCAAATACCAACTTGCGTTCCGCACAGAAAATACGGTGTCGTTTGTCGCAGCGAAAAGAAGTATGATGCTGAAATCTAAGAGTAAAGGGTAAACGGTTCACTGAAAAGTAATAATCTGGATAAAAATTTTCTAATTAACTGCAGGGAATGTGATCGGTTCCAGATAAGCATTTGACAACGCCTGTGTTTTGTGAACGAACAAGTGTGGCTGATCGTGCACTTTCACAGAGTAGAATAGTTGCTCTAAAATTTTGTAACCTTTTCTATAGGACCAGGCTGTGTAATATTGTCATCATAATAAAGCACAAATTACGGTAATAGCAGTTCCCTCAATGCTTTCCAAGAAAATGGATGTGAGAAAGACAGTTCTCAGGGGTCGAAGCATCGAAAGTTCACCCATTCTTGATTGATATGTGGAGTTTAACGTCCCAAAACCACTATATGATTATGAGAGACGCCGTAGTGGAGGGCTCCAGAAATTTAGACCACCTGGGGTTCTTTAACGTGCACCTAAATCTGAGCACACGGGCCTACAACATTTCCGCAGCCGCCGCAGCCGGGATTCGAACCCGCGCCCTGCGGGTCAGCAGCCGAGTACCTTAGCCACTAGACCACCGCGGCGGGGCGTTCACCCATTCTTACCATGAACACAGTCATCAAGAGATGTTTGCGTTTATATTTACACCAGCTGTGAGCCAGTTTGGCTCGCTTCTATTATCGAACACCACTTTTTCTGTTCCCTATCCTACACATTCTGAAAACGTGTGGGTGTACAAGCACACACAAACTGTCCTGCCATCAACTGATAAATGACGCGCTCTGCAAAAAAAAACATTAGTGGACACTAAACTAAAAAAATTAGGAGGCATTTTGCCATTTCTGAAAAATTTGAAGACGAACTATGCCGACTGCATAGTTCACACTTCAATAACTTGTACACTTCAAGACTGTATTATAGGCTGAGACCAATGAGAGGTCAGTTTTTTGTTGTTGACTTGTTTTATTTGCTTTTTTACGTAGAATTTAACAAGCATTCCTCTAAAAATCGTCGGGAAAATTAGTTCAGTAAGAAACGTGCAAACAACTAGGTTTTTTGAATAGTACTTTCCACATAGCACTTTTGTTATATTTTGATAGATCTTGTATTCGTAATTTTTAATGTTTAGGATTTTTATCTTCACTTGCAGATTTGTGTACTCGGCAATTGTACTTCCAAGCCTGAAATAGACAAAGCGGAATAATGCCTACAGGTGGAGAAATCATTTAAAAAAACTTCCTTTCATATTATTGCCACGTACCCGTCTGTGTTCCCCGTAAAATATTTTCACAGCAAAACAGTAAATGTTTCGATGGAACTTCCTTTATGGGCAACTGTTAAGGAATCATAACACCAAAATATTTTGAAGAGTGAAAGTTACTTTTCACCCACATTCTACAACCACATGTGGCAAACTTTATTATTAAATAAACTTTTGTTGAGATTAAAAAAGAACTGTTCCTTTCATTCCTTCTAGAACGAGTTGTCTCATACAATGCATCCGCGTTTTTGGTAATAATTGATTGTCAAACAATTTATAATATATATATATATATTATGTATCGACATTGAGCAACGCAAGGGCTCGAGCTTGAACTAGGCTAATAAAGTGAAATGAGGAAAGAGAAAAGCATATTAACAGCCAACCTGGAATACAGGCATTGTCTCTGGCTCTCTTCATATCACTGGCCTACGAAGTACGAACTGTAAGCGCGTCTCTGTGGGTCATCGCTACTGCGCTCTTTTCTTCCCGCGATAGCCGCTCAGGGTACCGCGATAATGCAGCCGACGACACTCGTACAACCGAGAGCACCTCTATTCGAGGATGGTGTCCAGGTCTTCCCGATAGCTCAAGGTTGTTACGAAGGCCAGAGGCTAACACGGTCCCGAAGGCGCCACTGCTCCGACCTCCGCCGACACGGTCACCAGCCATTTGGTAGCGTGTATCAACTCTGCGCTCGCGACTGCTTCTGCGCAGAGTTGATAGACGAGCGGACGAGACGACGGTGCGTTAAGGCAAGCTTTATGTACAGCATAGAAATAGAGGCGTTACATAGAAATAAACGAAGTGTTCACTTCGTTTCTTTGGCTGTACAGCACGTACTTCTATGCTGCGTTACGACAAGGAGAGCTAAAAGCAAGATAGATAGATAGCTAGATAGATAGATAGATAGATAGATAGATATATAGATAGATAGATAGATAGATAGATAGATAGATAGATAGATAGATAGATAGATAGATAGATAGATAGATAGATAGATAGATAGATAGATAGATAGATACGCTCAAGGTCGCTGAAGTTTGCCAAGAAATGCTTCGCATTCCAAACCTCTTCGACAGGATCCACCTATTTGCTCGTCATCCCAGCAGCCCTTTGCTAAGAAGTACTTCAAACACGCGACGAGGTGACTTCAGGCCCCTTAGGTTACACGAGAACGCTGGCCAGAGTACAGCAAGGAAATGACTAGCCAAGACCGACCACAGCCGTAAAGTGCCACGTTCGTACTTTCATTAACTGCCAGCGACGCAAGTTACGGCCGACTAAACCAGCTGGCCTCGTGCAGCCCGTGCAAGTCCCAAAACACCATTCGACCAGATTGGCTTGGATATTTTGGGCCCACTTCTATTCCTGGGAACCACTGGGTTATTGTCGTGACTCAATGCCTTATCCTTTATGTGAAAACAAAAGCTATTCAGAGAGGTAAAGCAGTGCAGGTGGCCCAATTTTTTGTAAAGGATGTTGTACTGAAGCATGGCACACCAACCGTCGTGATCGCCGAGGAAATGCATTAGAGCAGCTGTTTTGGGTGACGCCCTGAAGCTGAGTGGAACAATCCATCGTAAGACCACCGCCTACTACCCGCAAACGATCGGCTTACCGAGCGTCTAAACAAAACAGCTGAAGACAAGCTTTTAAAGTACGTACTCGTCAAACACGAAAATTCGGACGAAATCTTGCCGTTTATCACTTATGCATACGACATCGCCAAATGAAAAACAACCAGCATTTCTCCGTGCAGCCTCATTCACGAACGGGAAGTATGAACTTTTTAACATGTGATGCTATCGCATCACTGTGACAACATTAATCCGGACGCCGAGATGTTTACAGAATGCGCCGAAGAAGCAAAGCAAATAAAACGCTTGCGAATCCAGCAGCAGCAAGAGTACGACTCAGGCCACTACAATGCTCACCGCAAAACAGTCGTTTCCCAGACCGTCGACACAGTATGGGTTTGGATGGCCACACAGAAACGAGGACTCTCCTTAAAGGGCCACTCGCCAGTTTGAAAATTTCGAGCTGACAAGCGCAATGCGCAGGCGAGGCGTTCATGCTCACGCCTGCCAAAATTTGCAACGCTACGCGCCGCGGAAATGGGTCAAATTTCAAATGAAAGCTTCTCCCCCTCCCCTCTGCCGGCGCACGCGTAGAGAATGAGGGCATGACGTAGGCGTAGGATTGGCCCTACGTACACTTTAATGCAGTGACGTTGGTCCGCTACGCAGGCGACTCTGCTCTGACGTTGTCAACAGTATACCACGTGACATGACGAAAATGATTTAACACAACATGCGCAGTTTTATGTTTGTTAGTTTAAGAGATGAATAAAACTTGAAATAATTTATGAGACGCAATAAAAATTGTGCACGTTCTTCTTACATTTTTTTCCCGTAAAATGCTACGAGATGCGAGGCTTATGTGCCAGCGTTTCGCATGCGTTCGGGTCCCCATGGTCAGCGCATTGAGCAGACGACCGCCGTGGAACGTTTCTACTCGTTCGCTCACTCATTGTGCTCATCTACTCTACCGCATCTAAGCCAGAGTTTCCAAACGATCCCACAGAAACAGGCAGAAGACCACAAAATAATGCTGGCCAACAAAGCAACGCGGCTCGCGTGCACCGGGGCAGGGCTTGTTCGGGCACGTCATGCACACGTAACCTCTTGGTCGTATGCTGGAGATTGTGGAGATGAGATTTGGCTTGCGAAAACTACGCGGAGCAGCAACGAGGGTTTCGAGATCGCCTCCTCTGACCCTCGTTTCGCGCCGCTTCAAAAAACCTGTTTTCTCTGCTCGTAATGAACCGATTCGAAACATTTTTGTGGCAAAACGTTTTTCATCGGACACCCAACAATTTCCACTGTCTAAAACTAAAATTTGATATGGGGCCTCATGAATGGTCCTCCAAAGCTGGTAAGGAGATACTTTGGGCAATACATATTACTTCGACGCTTAGTGATGTTGCTTACGAAGTCTTTACTGACAGTTTGTATAATACGAGGCGTCGCGAGCACCGTCCTGAACTCGTTCACCTAGTGCACATGAAGCTTTGTCCGGGAGTAATTGCGCAAGACTTTTCTAAAAAATGGCATCATATCCCCGGGGTGAATGGAGAGTGGTGTGAAGCATCCGGCCGTTCATTCATTCTTACTTCCGTCCATCCATGAGTACGTCTGTGTGACCGAACATGCGTCAATCTGCCCGTCCGTGCGTGCGTCTGTACGCGCGTTCGCACGTCCATCCGTGTGCCTGTCCCTGCATTCGTCCATGCATCTGCCCCTGCATCCGTTCATGCGTCCATCAGTCCGTGCAGCCATCCGTGCGTCTGTCCATGCATCTGTCTGTGTGTCCGTTCGTCCACCTATTTAACACTATAAGTACCACCATCTCGCATTTTTTCATCATATATTCCTCATATAGAAGCACCGCCATCCATCGGACGTTCCAACGACTGAACGAGAGGAGGCACACGCACACTTTCTTACGACTTGCGCTTCGTGTCTACATCCCACCTTTAACCACCTCGAGTTCATGGTATATACTAGTTCACTGTATTCGTGGTGCTGTGGCTTACCGATCGCTAAACCTTTCTAAAACCGAAGAGGTTACGCCCAGGGAGCATAACGTAGCAACCCTTTCTTGTCAGATGATAGTGCTCAATGCATATGCCGGTGGCGGCTAATGAGCAATGAGAGGCAGGAGAATTCGGCTTTTGTTGAACGCGCGCACGCTGCGAATTTTTTACTGTTCGACAACACACAGGAAAAATCCCACACCGGCACCACCTTGCAGTTCAAAGCGTAAGACATGTTACGCATTACGATGAAAGACGAACGGGTGCCACTTTAAAATGCTTCGCCCCTTGAAAAAATCTGCCCTACTGATCCATCATCGGGATGATGCTCTTAGGAGAAAGGAAAATAACGCGTGTCTACATGTGGACGAAAACGACGATAAGGTGATTTCGTGGACTCCACATAGTGGCCCTTTGGCTGTTCGAACACAAAGAACGCAATCTTCCTGTTCTTCTTCTGGGGACCCGCAGTTATCGCTGTGTCAACGTCTCTCTGTCTTTTGTTCACGTTGCACCTCGGCAATATTCTGTTGTATGCCCAAACCCTCAAAACCAAAGACAAATTGTATAATGAGTTCAAGTTAATGATTCAGTAATGAGACACTTTCTATGGCAATTGTATCTTTTAGTTGTGTTTCGCACCTCTCACATGCCTAAGTACTCACTCGCTGCTGGCCCGCAGGTTGCGCGATTGAACCGTGAAGCGGCGGCTGCATTTTTGATGGAGGCAAAATTTTGTAGCAATTATCAACGTTTACGCATGGGAATGTAGACAAGGCCAACACTTGCTGCTGGAAAAAGAAACAAAGTGAAGCAGCTTTTGTATTAGCGGCAGATACCGACAAAAGCAAAATTTCGCGTTTCTTCCGATGCTTCCTTTTAGTCCACCTTACCCTAATGATCTCGGTGACCAAAAAAAACTTCTTTTAGGTAAGTTGATCTATGCTAGTTCAGATTACTGAGGCGCAAAAATATTTCGTTAAACATGAGGAACAAAAGAGAAAAAGAACACGCAAAAGCTTGGTGATGTCTGTCTTCTCTTCTGCTCCTCCTGTTTCACGTAATGTCAGAGACGCCAAGCACTTTCTCGCGTTTTACACTGTACACAGCGTTCCCATAAAGACACGCCGTTCTATTGCTAGCTTTGAGTAGTAAAGGCAAATATCCCGGCAACTGCTCAGCGAAAATAATCTATTTCGTAAGAAATATGGAAGTTGAGTTTTCATTATCCATAGGCACCCTACAGTGGACCAGAGGGCGCGACGAAGCTTTTTGGGCCGCCTAAGTATTGTTGGCACCAACCGCCAATGATACCAAAAAATGAGTCTCTCACTGAACACATTGATAAGCTGAAGTGTCAATGCCCTTTTTGGTGCGTTTTCAAAGAACGCTTTCTGGGCGCTTACATAATCACCCGTGACCCCCTGCTCACAACTAAAAAGAAAATAATGTGCACGAGCAAGTCCGCTTTCGCTGCGTCTGCTCGCTAGGCTACGCATTGAAAGACTCGGTTTTGCTGCACCTACTCGCTAGGCTGTATGTTCTGGCGCTAC